CGGCACATACAGCTACTGATGATGCGGTGCTCGTCTTTTTGATATTCCATCGGTCAGCGCTTACCTGCCCTCTAATGTAGATTGGTATACGCGTATACCTATTTATTGCCATCGTAAATCGCTCGCTTAGCAGTGTATATATATATACACATGTGCTGTATTTCTCGCTGAGTTCGGGGAGGGCTTACATACTCCCTTTTCTCCTTGACTCTCTTGTGTAGAAGTATATGTATGTGCTTAAACGCGTTACGCACTTGCGTTACCTGATGTATTATATGCTTCGAGGCGGCACGGGTTAATAGGATACGAGCCAGCGAGAGAGGGAGGATATAATACGTATGAAGCTCAGGCAGAGAAAGAGTGTATATACAGAGAGCAGTATGTATATGGAATAGCAAGGAATGCGTTTGCCGCTTCTGCAGAACGGATGTGCTTGTCCTGCGTTTTGCATGTGTATATGTTATTACGTGCGTGAAGGAATGAGTTCCTGGTTGCTCGCCAAGTGAAATTAACACTTTCATAGGCACTGGGTATTGTTGTTTTACGCGGGGATACGCTAGTTGCAAATTTTTGTCTCTTATCGTTTGTTGTATTGGTTATTTTTCTCAATATGTTGTCAAGTGCGATGAGAGAAATTAATTGTCTCGATATCATAGGACTGAAATCAGTTATATCTAAATCTGTGAATGGCTGCATTACAACGAACAGTTTCAAAAAGTCGTTTTCTATCAATCCATAGCAAATTTGGAGAATGAGTCACAGGGTTTTTTTTATCCACCAAAAGACGCTTATTCGTCGTAATGTTTGAAATAATTATTTTATTTTATGTTTATTCAGCTTAAACGTTAGAAACTCTATATTATTTTAACAATCATTTGTTAAATTAACTGACACTTGAACTGAATGGCAATCGAAAAAGCAAATAAAATAAATGAAATTTAAAATAAGCATTGTATAGTTTGGGGTGACTGAACAGTTGATTGTTCCACGAGGCTTAGATTAAATGGCCAAAGTGGAAAAAAACCACAAAGAAGCACAGTTTTTGTCTCTTTTGACGTATACTCGGATAGAACGGTGAACTGCGAATTTATCCCGTGTAAGGACTTTTGCTTGTATTTTCAATGATTTCGTAGTGGGTAAAATGTTCAGCTTAACGATCTACTAAAGCGTATACATAATAAAATTGAAAACATTATTGTAACATGACATCGTATGAACGTCTTGAAAGATGTAATTTTAATACCTCTAGAAATATATATTAATTACCGTGTATTTGTCACTTCCACGGCCCCTTTCAGATAGACACAAAGTCTGATAAGCAAAGACAAAGAAATTATACAAATACATAATCAGAGTTAGAGATTTAAAGGTGTATAAAAAATTTAAAAATTCAATACCCAAAATTAAGACAATAGGCATATTTAAAGTTAGAAGAATAATAAATTTATGATGGTAAAGATAAAGTAATGATTGACATCTACATACAATTTTAGAAACAAATAAAGGATTTAAAAAATTCGTAGTAGCAAAAACGAAGAAAATTACTAAGGAAACTTGTATCCTGAAAAATATTGATCTTAAGGAAAACTCAGGGAACTAGCTGCACCAAGTATCATCCATCAAATAGAATCTGTTAAAAACGGGAGTGATATTCCCTTACTAGTTTGCTGTACATAAGCCTATGACGTAACATAGGCACCCAAAAAAAAGGTACAGAATACCACCCCAGTGGTTTTAAACCACACCCAAAGGTGTTTTTCTGTAAGTATAAAAATTTCAAGATCGAAGAACCGGAAACAGAGGCATAAGAAGAGATCAAACGAGACTTGAGCACGCAGTCGTGTCAAAAAATATAACTATTCGTATCAATTTCGCATCCTCTCTTCTCTAATCAGCATATACATCGAGCCGAAAAAAGTTCGCGCGATAACAAACCCACCAATACTACCCATACCCACTGACTCATGAATCCCGTGATAGCCTAGCAGTTGAGTACCCGAAATAACCCAAAAATAACCCAAACTCTCGTCATAGCCACGCACTTTTTTGTCCCCTCTCTTCTCGCGGTCTTTTAAAATCTTAAAATCCTCCACACGTATAATTGCTACTCCGTTTGGCGCGAAATAAACACAAGCGTGTACCTTCGTCTCGCACGTAAGTACAGCCAATACTCAGCCCAAGAGCTAGGCGAGTGCTTATATAAGAGAATGCCGCGTGCGCCGGAGCTCCAGAGCTTGCAAGTTTATGGTATATACGGCAGAGAGTATACACGTACACCAGCGGTGTATGGTTGATGGATTCCGCGCGCCCCGGCTCTTCCGACTATGCCCACGAATTTACCTGATGTTTTATGGAATGAAAATTACAGGCGAGCCGGCGGCGTGGAGTTCGCGCCTTCGTCGCCGCGACGGTGTGGTATGGCTCTGTTTTTTCTTTCCTCTTCATCGTGTTCCCTCTCGTTTTCTTTGGGCTCCGTGCAGCGGTGCCGATGATGAGCCACGCTGTCTTTAGAGTAATGGCAGCGGTGTAGCTCTTCGCACTTCCAGCCGTCAGCTATAGATGTTACATGTGGTATTGCTCGCGTTCGTATAACGTCTCGGGGCGAGTTGCTAACTTTGGTACTGGAAATGTTAGCCATGCTTATACAGATGTATCGGCCTTTTTTCTACCAAATCTAATTTTTTTTCCATTTTTCTTCAGAAATGGCTATGAGAGATATTGACTGCTTTTGGAGGACTTTTTAGCGTTGGCCATCCAAAAAAAATTTTCGATTAGCAAAGAAAGTAGCTGTCACTATATACTGTACAGAGTTTAGAGTGAAATTTAAATTTTCCATGCTGTACGTTGGTGCACATGTATATAGGTAAGCGCATTTGTCAGTCAAGTAATTGTCGATTATCGTGTTTTACATCTTCAACATCTTGTGGATGGATATTTAATTGATTTTTACTTCTTTCTATGCTTACACGAATCTACAGTTTCAAACGGTCAGTAATCTGAAATAAGAATGTTGCTTTTTTATGGAATACGAGTGATCCATGTAGAAGGAGAGTAATTGCTTCATTTTGGAAAGAAAATTTATCGAGTTCTCTCTGCAAATTGACGTATATATTGTCTATCTGTCTATTATCTTGGGTGCCAAAAATAACAATACCTCAACTTAGAATACAAAATTGAAGTAAATAGTAAAAAAAAATCTCCAACAATAGATTCATTTGGGAAATGGGTGTTTGTTTCCGTAACCACAAAGTAGGACTTTTTTTATTTTTAATATAGGGTTCTGCAAAAGCATAAACGATGATTATCAATAAAACGTTGAGAGTAGTAGATTCCTGGACCTCATCATCTAGTCTCTTTGTCTTCCAAGATTCGGATGATTAAAAGTACGTCATGTCCAATTTCTTTGACTGTTTTTTATCATAATAATATTTTTCCATATTATTTTGATTTCTCAGTTCTCCTACATCTCATCGGCATATTTGTTGTGGAAACTGAGAAACGCACCATAATGACACACATCAAAACTCTTAAACGAGAAAAAACTTTTTTTTCTCATCCAGTATGCAACGAAAATAGTCTAACTGTCGTGCTCACACAGTAAAAATAAAACAAGACAAAACGGAAGGAAAAAAAATTTAGAGCTACTGTCGTACTTTTTCCTTTAGTTGCCACTGTTTTTCCCTTGCTCATTAAATTCGCATCAAATTAGTAAGTTACGTACCCACACGCGCACGTATACTGTATACATTACCAGCAACAGCGTCGAAAGCGTTGAGTCTTCTCACAACGTGGATGTGTTTCACGAGAAAATCTCATGAAAATTCATATTCAACCCATATCAATTAGCCTACGTGCTCACAATGACAAAAAAAATACGTGCTACATGTGTGGTGTATCACGTACGCGAGCGTGGCACATATAAATTTAATTTTGCCCGTATCGCGAATCTTTGCAAAAAAATCATTAGAAACCAAATTTGTCTTACGAGCACAAGTATTTCTGACTCATGCGTATGGATTTTATGAAATGCTTTTTGCACTTATAGGCCTATCGGGTTGGAAGTATCGTAGTTAAGCCATATTTAATTTTCTTTCTGCACTAGCACTTGAGTCCAGATAATTGCCGTACATTAAGTTGTATTAGTTTTCTCTACACTACAACACATTAATCACTATAAGTGCTGTATTATAGTCATATTGCTGATAAATTACTATTGTGCACGAGTGTTATCAGTCGCGTGTTTACGTCATATTTGAATACATTACATTGTCCGTCACACCAATGCTCAAAACACTTTTAGAAGTAAACGGAAATCAACTTTTGCTACTCAATAAGCTTCAGTATAAAAAAGACGCCCATTTAATACCAGACAAAACTAGTGTTTAGCACAAAACTTTTGTAAAATGACAATGCTTATACGGATGTTTTAGGTAAAATGCTTCTAGAAACATCGAGATCGAGATTTTGGTGAAGTTGGGCACAACAGGAGGGGATATTAAAAATTGTACTTCGGATGGTAAAATAATATAAAAATTTAGAGCTCGTAGGTGCACTCTTTTATTTATCTACTAAACTAAAAAAAAAAAAAAACTTTTCACTAGAAGTATAATAATCAGAAGTAGAAGAAGACACAATATACCTTTAGAGAATTTATTATTAGTGATTGCTAACGACGAATAAGTGAGAACACTGACTTTGTGGTTTTTCCCTATTGTTATCCAAGAAAGATAGAATTATTTTTTTTGTGAAGCGTTTTTTTTTTTTTGATTTGTTTATAAGCTGTTCTTTTGATGAAAAATATAACGTTTAATAGTTGCAAAATACTAAAACTAGGAAATTTTATTTTTTTTCAACATCAATCAAAATAGTTTTATTTTAATGTTAAAGGACATGACAAAGGTTTCTATAGTACAACTTGAACTTTACATAGAAGTACATTACTTTCATAGATGTAAGAAAACAGTATTGAGAAACAATAATTGCATAAAATTCTTGTATCCTCAATTTTTGTCCTTGATGGTAAAAGGATGCTGGTCGCGCATGTGAACTTTCAACTCGTGGGGCCGGACAAAAGTCAGTAAACACTCGGTGCAGTGGTGGACATGTACATGGCCCATGTGTGCATTGAAATTACCTTTGTGATTAAAGGATAGCAAACACTCGTTGCAGCTAAACGGTTTAGCTCCCGAATGGGTCCGCATGTGCAATTTGAGATAATTCTTGCGAATGAAACTTTTTTGACACACTCCACAGGTGTAAAACTTTGGGTTTGTATGGGTCTTCACGTGAACTACTAAACTTCCCTTGTAGGTAAACTTTTTGGAACAAATTGTACAGCCGAAGGGTTTTATGTTCGCGTGGGTCAACTCGTGCGATAGAAGGTTCCTCTTGGTGCTAAAAGCTCGGGAACAAAATTGACACATAAACGACCTCTCGCCCTCATGGATTTTTTTGTGTACAGTGAGATTAGTTTTTTGTGAAAAAGTTTTCGAACACAACTGGCAGCTGTAAGATTTCACGCCTGTGTTGGCTCGTCTTTTGACCTTTTCCTTTGCACCAATCGCTTGACAACATGCTTTGCAGGAGTATGGCTTTACTACCATGTGGGCATGGTTGTACCTCTTGAGGTCACAATTTATTGCTAATATTCTCCCACATCTGTCACAAAGGTAAGAGCTGCGACCTTCAGCCATATTTATGAACAGTCCTCCACAACAGGTTGCAACAGAAACTTTATTGTCTTCTTCCTGTTGGACACGAGAATCAATGTAAATTTTTCGTTTAGAATTTTGTAACGTGATCACTTTCTTATTTTATTAAAAAATTTCTGTCTTTCTTAGAGCACGTGTTGTCCAACAGACTTTATGCGTTTTTTAACTATTTTAATTGTTTGATAAAATCTTTTTATTGTTATTCATTCTTACATGAGTTTTTATCTGCTTCACTTTACAGTTAACAATTGCATTGCAATAAATTTTGTAAAGTACAGTTCTCATGCAAATCTCATTTCCTTTTATCCTTGTACATTGCGAGCAACATTTCACCAGTAAAACTACAAGTTGCTATTCGTTACTAATTGTGTTGATAAATGGTTTGATGACAGCGGTGCTATGGTTTCTGCCCAGTTTACTTTTTTATAAAATAGTTTATTAGTATTATTAGTAATATATTGTGTTAATAGATTCTCGGACTCTAATTTGAGTTTTCATCAGTTAGAAGAGTAGTCTTATATAACGATCTAATGAGAGAACATAACCTAAAGTGAAAGTTCGAGAAAAGGGTTTTGGGGTGTGTATCACCACAGAAAACTTTAAAGTGATAAAAATGTTCTGTTTTAATTAATAATTATTAGTCTCGTTTCAGTTTTAATGCTTGCAGTAAGAAAATCACGCTGTTGGCACCTTAAGTTTCGTAAATTACTTTATTTATTTGATTTTGACAGAAACTAAAGGACCAGAACATCGAAAAATAACCTCACACAACTTGTATGTCGAATAGACAGATATGTTGTCACTACGACGGTTCTTAAGTATGATTCATGTGCTTGAAATATACAAAAAATTAGTTGAATACTAGAAAATATGCTCCTCTAACAATAAACTGATAGAGATTTCTCAAAAGAATTTTGGTTTGTTTTTGTGAAGGTCGATTTTTTATTATTACTCTCCAGTTTTATTCCGTGGTCCAAATTTTAGTTGTGTTGACTTCGAAGTTGACTTTTTTGTATAACTTATTTAGCTATTGACCCTGACGAGTAATGGACTTGCTCCCATAAAATCTAAAAAATTGTGATGTATATTTAGATGGAAATTGATATGCCTATTTAGACTATTGAAAGGTGCACATTACCAATAGATTAATACCACAAAAGTTTTGAAAAGACACCGAAAAATACCGTAAGATCTTTTTTTTTTTGTAAAATGAAAAATTGTGATCGATGTGGATGAACAATTCAGCAGTAACTGGAAGCCAATCTTTTTTTTTTTCAACAACAGGTACAACTTATTATCGAAGAGAAATAGTTAATGGTATAATAATCGACAGGTATGGCATATGCGTGTAAAATTAGACAGCGTTCAGGTACGTTATTTTTGGTAGTATTAGTGTGACGGAAATCGTATTGTGAAATTTTAAATAATGTTCTCTAAAATAGAGCCACTAGAGCATTAACAATTGGATCTATTCTGACCAAAATTATTTATTTACTTGAATCTCAAATAATGTATGTTAAAAATGATTTTTTATCCTTTCATGGCTTCCGACGTTAAACGGATATCCTAGTTTCGTAACATTAGTCTTTCTTTTGTCATAAAAATCTATACTTCTTTGCGGTTAAATGTTTACAAAAGAATAGATTTTTGTTCATACATTATAGGAAAAATATAAAGTACTGCAATTGTACTAGGGGTAAGTGTACATATTTCCGTGGTCTGCCCTATTACCGTGCATTTACAAAAATGCTGTTTGATTTTTTAAAAAGTGTAATAGCGGTCGCAAAAAAATTATTTGATATTAATATCCAAGAATAGCTCGAATTAGGATAAAAATGTAATATTTATATGATTAATTTCTAGAGAAAATCATATTTATGAACGGTATTAGGTACCAAGAGTATGTTAGACGGTCGTGTACGTATTACCGTGGTGAGGCATGTGATTGAGACATCCACGGTAATATGTACACGGTAATAGGTGCATGACCACGGTAATACCTGCATACTATTTTTGTTAATTTTAATAATAATCCATTCAACTTTTAGTCTCGAAAAAAATTTTTAAACAATCTTTAAGAGTTTATGCAAGACTTAAGAAAAAAATCCATAGGATTTTGTCATTACTCAATATTTAATGGTGCATTTAATTTGGATTTCTTAACATACGCCACGGAAATAGGTACACTTACCCCTATGTGTATGCCGTTACTACGAATACTTGTAGATTATGATTTATAATCTATCCGTAAAAACTAAGATTTTTTCACGAACGTTTAAGAAAGTTTGCCCTCGAAATGTGGCCTTTTTAATGGTAGTCTTATGGAATTTACTCTTTTGATTAACTATAATTAGTATTTTGTGTATTCAAAAGAGTTGGCACCATTATAAGATTACTCAACTTCTGCATGTTTTCACCTGCTTACGATTTTACGACTAAAATTAATCATGGTAGGAAACATACTAATTATCTTAACAGCTGATAAAAACTTTCAAAAGTCAGTAGAAGTTTTTTAATTGGTAAAAAATAAATTTTTTTTATTAACAAACTTTAATGCAGAACCACAAGTTTAAAGCTGCTTTCACAAGACAACAGTTGTTACACAAGGGCATATATCTGATATTATTGAATTTTTTAAAGTATTGAATTAAAAACTAATCGCATGATTAACTGTATGCTTACACAAAATCTGCATTGGTACATAATCCATCGAAAAAAATTTTTTTTCTAAATTATCTGTAAAAGTTTCTTTGTACGGCGAAGCACCTTATAGATTACCATCATAGATTTGCCAATTAAATCAAAGATTGTTGGAAGAAACCTTCAAAAATATATTGTACTTTAACATAATTGTAACCCGATAAGAAAAAAAAAGATTGAAAATGAAGTGCATATGTTTAAGAAAAATTGTAGATCCATTTGAAAACATAACTTTTATTTTCTTGAAGCTTGCGTCTAGGATGCAATAAAAACAGTTTGAATGTCAGGGAACACTAATTTTCTACATAAATTCGTAATAAGTTACCATTTGTTCGACTCTACAGTCAACAATATTTGCAACCGTTTAATTTTTTCAACTAGTATTTACAAACACAAATAATTTCAGTAAAATATTGGAATTATAAATTACAAACCTCACCTGTGTTATTACTTTACCAGATTGGCTAAGATCCTTTCGTCCTCCGAGTTCTTACCGATACTCACGATGATATTGGTTCGTCCTCTATTTAGATATTTTGGTGACTTTTAGAGGAATAATTCATACTGCTCTTAAAATATGAAAGTTTTGCTTCATAAACACTTTTGGTGTAACTAAGGTATACTCTACATATCATGCTTGAATTACAGGTACTCAAAGAAGTACTGGTCGACCGATCGTGGAAGGTACGGTTACTTTGGTCGTTCACGACAATTCCCCAAAATTTCACGAAGGTCGACGCCCCGGTACAAGCGTCATACCCAGAAAGCAAGAAATTTTAAAAAGCATTTTTCAATGAAAATTTTTTTTTGGCATACCAAATACGCCGTATTCTTAAAAGCATCGGGACATCAGAGCTCTCCTTATCACCCATAACGCGCAACGCAACCGCATTTCTCTCGAGCCGTAAAAAACCCGTAAAACTTCATCTATCGGGGGAGAAATGACAGCGTCTTTTCCTCCAGCCGATCAAGCGATATCCGTAAGTCGAAAGCTTATCTCCTTCTAAATAGGGAGACGGTGCCACTCGCTCGACGCGTCTTTGGAAACAAACTTACTTAACATTCGCGAAAGAGCAGAGGCATGTAATTATGCACTGTAAAATCGAAAACACGATCGGATGGTATGGGGGGAAAAAAGCGTGTCCATAAAAACGGACATAAAAGTCAAAATGGGAGTCGGAAAGTCGTAAAACCGCGAATGGGTCGCCTCGATCAGCTTCAGCTCTGACGAGTGCAGCCTGTTGTTGCTGATAAGAGCCGTGCACACGCGCGCTTAACCAGAGGGGGGGGGGAAATGTTTGTCACAAAAATCGAATGGTCGTAAATCTGTCGCTTTTTTACTACGAGGCGTCTGTTTCCTCTAAGGGACGTTCTCACGTTGTGCAGCTCTTAATGTTTGTCGGACCTTCGGGGGGATTCCCAAAATCATTAGACCTATCTGTCTTTCACTGTGTACCGCTGTTGTACCGTAACCTTTTTACTTTCATCGTTAGGTACGTGTCGAGCAGACGTAAGTACACATGACGTGTATTTTTGAAGGAATTGCTATTAATTTATATATATTTTTATGACTTTATACCTGCATTTTTATCGACTCTCAAAAAGAAAGGGGTTAGTACAATGTGACGTAAAATAGACACAGGAAATACTTCAATAATTCTTTTTTATACTATTTATCCTAGCACTAGCAGTGAATTTTAAGGTGTGTTATATCTCATTGGGTAGAAACAGCTATCTCTAAAGATTATGGATTAAGTTTGAGTAATTTTTTTTAGAACTTGATGCAAACCTCTTCCAACTTTATTGCAAAATATCCAATATAGCACAACAAAAAGTGAAGTTAAATAATAAATATTAATAGTATAAAAATTTCAAAATGTACAATACTAAAAACTATTCATTAATTACTATTGGTGGTGAATTCATCTTTTCTGAAACATTTTTTTCTATCCATGCACTATTCAATAGGTCATAACACTCGCTATTACAACAGTATTTTCTGAAAAATAAGAAGATATTCATAAAATGCCACTCAAACTTCTTAGAAAAAAACCTGTTGAGCAACATTGATGTAATCTTAACTTTTATCCAGTTTGTTTTCAATTTCGGCTGTTAGTATAAAAACGTCTTTCATTTAACCTAATCTGCTTTTGATATAGTACGTTCAGTGCACATAAGAATTCTGCACATTTTCATGCACAAGTTATTGTACACTAAACATTATCATTTCAAATGAAAAAGCAGAAAAGGAAGAGCAAACCATCGAGTAATAAGCAGGTTAT